AAAGCAACTTTTTATTTTATTTTATTTTATTTTATTATTTGACAGCAAGAGAGGTAACACAAGCAGGGGGAATGGGAGAGGGAGAAACAGGCTCCCCAGTGAGCAGAGAGCCCGATGTGGGGCTCGATCCCAGGACCCCGGGATCATGACCTGAGCCGAAGGCAGACGCTTACCTGACTGAGCCACCCAGGTGCCCCTAAATAAACAAAACTCTTATACGTTGCTAGTGGGAATGCAGAATTTATAGAACCACTCTAGGAAACAGTTTGGTAGTTTCTTATAAGATTTAACACAGGGCGCCTGGCTGGCTCAGTCAGGGGAGCACGTGACTCTTGATCTTGAGTGCGTGAGTTCGAGCCCCACCTTGGGTGCAGAGATGACTAAAAATAAATAAATAAATGAACTTTAAAAAATAAGCTTTCCTAAGATGTAAATAACTTTAAAATATCCACATTTGTAATTTCATGAATTGATTAGAATGAGACTGTTTTCCTCAATTCTTATGGTGAAATCATTCAAGTATCTGAAGCAAGAGCAGTTCTCACACTTGTTTCACTTTGCTTTCTTCATGATAGAGATTCAAGAATAAAAGGCACTGAGGCAATGGACTCAGAGAAGAAGGTGCCAAGCCCCGAGCAGTGGCTGGGTTCTGTGATCCCATAGGCATTGCTGTTTTACCGCGACCCTCTTCCAGAAGCTTCCTCTCGGGGCGTGGAAAGCCACAGGACCAATGCCGCTGATGACGTGTGGAGTGTGACGTTCTGTTATGATTCAAGGTGTCAAGGGACACAGAATACAAAGCTGCATGTCGCGCTGCTTTTGCTTCACCTTGCAATGCATTTCTTTTCCCAGCCGTTGCCCTCAGTTAGACCCAAGAACAACTTCAGACCGCAGGAAACATTCCCGGATGGAGTCATCGTGTCCTGGAGCCAGACTGCCTGATTTGAGATTCTGGTACATTGCCTGGGACTGGTCATGTGGCTTTGGTCAAATTTCTTTTAACTGGTCAGAGCTTGGACTACTTAGTCTATGAAAGAGAGACAATAAGGATAGTACCTATCACATGAGTTGTTGTGAAGATCAAATAAGACAATACTGAAGACACCATGGCTCGGGACTGGGAGGTGGGTGTGGTGCACCCATAGGGAGAGTATTCACCCGCTGCTGCTCTTTAGAATTGGCTTGGGATACCATGGTAGCTCAGTACCTGGCACTCAGTAAGGACTCAATAAACGGTCTCGTAGAATGATTTTGTTTTTAAACTGTGAGCATGTATAACTTAGAATTTTAAAAGATGCAAATTAGAAATCGCACATTATCTCCATATATTTCCATATGTACATGTGTGTTTGCAAATGCATAGAAAATATCTGGAAGGAGGGGCTCCTGGGTGGCTCAGTTGGTTAAGCGACTGCATTCTGCTCAGGTCATGATCC